GAACAACAAGAATTTGAGCTCCATCTCACCAAGAACCTGCATCCCCTCATCCTCCTAAACCCATATTCTTGTACTTCCTAGAAATCAATTCCCGTTGAACAATGTCCAAGCCTGAGCGACTAAATGTCAAAACAATTAAAAACACACATAAAATCCATCTGCTTGGAAGTGAAAACAGGGAAATATAATGGAAGGGCTTATCAATAGCAACACATTCAGAATCCTGCCTTTCAGAAAAACTCAGATCAGAGACCAGCCTCTCATGTTTACAACAGAGGAACACAGGAATCAATGATGCACAAACAGCTCTTTTCGAGGATGTATTGACAACTTCCTCTAGTGGATCCAAATAACAACAAACACCCTACGACTCCCCAAGCAAGAAATGCCAAAAACCTATATAGCAAACGAGACAAACCCAAATTAATAACCAGCCCTAAACCTGAAAAAACAAAATAAACCTAAATTTTCTTTTCCTTCAGAAAAAAAGCCCCAATCGAATCAGACCCAGATATGTAATCATCACAAAAACACAAAAGGCAAAAGAAAAAAGATGTAAACAATGAAGAAAAGGAAAGAATTAAAAGAAAAACAGAGGTAGGTACCAGTAAGGTCGATGAAAGAGAAGGGTTATCGTCTCGGAATTGATGAAACGAAGTAGAAGCGCAGAGAGATCAGACGCCCTTCAATGCACTGAATACAAAATCAAATAGCGAAATGGCAGAGAAGTGAGAGAAGAAGAAAAGAAGGGGAGGCGGATCGGGGAACACCCACCTGAAATCGCTGTCACCGGAGATAAATCGGGGGGCGGGAGGATCGAAAAACACCCAAAAGGAAACGGAAAAATTAAGAACTGGGGAAGAAGAGGAAGAGGGATAAGAATAGAAAAAAGGACATTGAAATGGGAATGAATTGGAGAGAGAGAGAGGTACTGAGTCCGAGGAAATCGGAGAGAGACAGAGAGAGAGAGAATCGGAAAACCACCAATTCAAAATCAAAAGCTTTGCATTTGGAAATGGAAATGGAATCGAAATTGAAATTGAAATTGAAATTGGGCTGCTCTTACACAGCTATGGTTTCGATCGATCGATCGATCAATGCTGTTCCAGTGAATACGGCACCGTCTCGTCCTTTTTCCTTTTGCAGCCTGCCAGCCTTGTTCTTGTTACGCTCTCAAACTTATCTTCCTTTCCCTTCTTTCTTTTTTTTCCCTTCTAAATTATACAAAATATTCCTAATTTGTAATTTCGCATTAATTAATTATCCTTAATTTTCCAAATAAATAAATAAATTATAATTACGTTTTTTTTTTTTTTATAAAAATTACTAAAAATATATTATCACCGACCCTTTCAACAGTTTAAAAATTTATTATTTATCTCTCCATAAAAAAACGTTAAGGCGTTAAAGTTTTCGTTTCAGTAATAATTTTCTATAATTACTTTTGAATTTTTAATTTTAAAAATATGAATTTAATATAGATTTTTGTTTCTTAAATTGTTTTTTATTTAATTCAATTCTAAATGGAACTGATTTGAATATTAAATGGTAGTTTGGTTTCATATGCTATTAACCTAAATAATTATTAGTTCGTATTATTTATATTTATTTATATTTAATTCAAATTTTATAAAATAAAAAATATATTTATTTTTTATTTTTTATTTTTTAAATTGGGTTATTAATTGGAATATTCCTTTGAAATCTTATTTAAAAGGGTATTAATTTTATTCCTTTTTATTTGGCCCATACTTATTTGAACAAATTAAAAACTTTAATTAATTTCCTTAAAACGTTTATGGATTTTAAAACGTCAATTTTGACATTTAATTATTTAATTATTTTGGTGTTCTTATTAACGATATTTCACGAGGTAAATAAATAGGTTAAAGGTTTTTGTTCGTAGAATGAGGTAAATAAAATAAGTGTTTGTTTGGTTCTTAGCTACTGAAACCGAACATCTACTCCCTTCTGTTTCTCGTATAGACAATGCTCTGACATTTTTAGTTTGTATTATATTGAACTCGTACCGTTGCAGTATTGTACTGAAAAGTTTTACACAATATCGATGTAGAGTCATTGCTTGATAATCTAGTTAGCTAGCGTTTTTTGGCTATGCCTTAAATTTCGAGTTTTAATGACAATAGAATTTGCTGTAGAGACACGGAACAATGAATAGCGAGATTTTATACAAATTCAAAATAGAAATTGACAGCACAAAGTAAGACAACAACAAGTTATCCTTCGACTTTAAGGAATTGAACAAATCCCGAAATCCACCCATTTTCAAATTCATCCCGACAACTATTAAACACCCTACTTCTTTCTTTTCTTTTTCTCCATTGTTTTTCGGGGAAGAGAAAAAGGAACGAACATTAGATCTAAAACACGAGTTAATTCTAGATTTGGGACGGGTTCGTTCCCAGGTATAGATAAAAAAAAAGAAGAGAGGAGCAAAAAAAGAAGAAAAAAACGCATTCTAGTTTATTTATTTTGTGTTTAATTCATGTTAGTCCGTTTCAATTGATTTTATTTCGTTTTTGTTTTTCTTCTTCAAAAATCAAAATTCCTTTGAACTCCTTGATTTATGATGAGTAGTCTCATTACAAAACTGACTAACAAATTAAATGAATGTTTGAATCAATCTCCCCCAATCTCATAAACTCACACAGAAAATTCAATGCAGATGATAATGGCGAGAGAGAATCATGAACTAACACCGATTTGGAATTTCTTCGGTCTCAAACATTAAATGAAGTGAAGGAGATGAAGAGTGATATTGATTACAACTCATGGTTTCCATCATGATGAAGAGAACAACATAATGAGGTATTACATTGATTTCGTTTTTACCTTTGAATCAATGAATGCCACTTTCTGAAGAAATCCAAAGAAGATGAAGAGGCAATCGAAAAATTGGGGAAAATCAAAATCGGCGAACAAAACTGAGACGACTTCAAATTCCTATGACGAATTCTGAGGAATCCGACGATGAATTCTCGTCAATCGATTCTTCTTCGTCGCTGGTTTCAAATTCCTGAAAATATCGCAGAATTATTGATTGGTTTTACATTGAAGCAGATGAATCCGGAACTTAGAAATCGAGAAATAGCTTCGAGGTTAGAGATCGGAATTTACCTGAAATTGTAAGTCGGTGAATATCTTCTCTCGCTCCTTCTCTCTGAGACTTCGCATCGGAGAAATCCTCTGATCCAAGTCAAATCAAAATTAAGCAAACGAACAACCGATCGAAACTTCAAACTCGCGAAAAAGATTGTTTACCATACAGTACGATCTGAGTTCCTTCAATCTGAATAACCTGTCGACCTCCATCTCCAGATCCCTCTGCACCTCACTTCTCTGCAAAATCTCCTTCCTCTGCATCTCCAACACCATATCCCTCTCTCTCAACATTTTCTCCGTCCGTTCACCGTCTAATCTCAATCTCTCAAGCTTCATCTTAACCGCATTGAGTTCATCAGCCAGAGACAAATCACATGACTCTGTCCTCGTCGCCGTCGCGTGAATCGGCGGTTCGTTCTCCTTATTGGCATCTCCGGATAGCGGGATCTCTACCTGTTCCCCCTTGGATTTGACGATTTTGGCGACTGCAGGAACATGATTTGAGAGTGAATTCTTCCGTTGGAGTGGGCGGCGGCCGGACTTGAGATGAAGATCTAGATGCGTGGGATGGAGAAGGGACTGCATATTGGCGGAGATGGAGAAAAGGAGAGGAAGAGAAATGGAATCACAGAGAAAAAAAGAAAAGAACAGAGAAGAGTGGGAGAGGCTGCTTTTCGATTTTGTTTTTAGGGTTTGAATTTGAAAGTAAACAGGCGGCAACGGCTACTTTATTCTATTACCATACTTACCTTATTTGAGGTTAAAGACAAAATTTTCCACTTGCTCGGGTTGGTACCACTTGTCACAATCGCACTTTGATGGCAGCGAGAACTTGTGATTGTGCAGCACTCACTTTTCAGCAACAAGTGAGTTAAGTCTATTCGTTCTAGTGTCGCCTACGGGCAAGCGACGTATGCTCAAGCCTTTGGCCACGGTTCAAGAAGGAAGTTTTAGAAAACGGGGGCAGAGAGATTTTGAAAGAGTTTTGAAAGCAAGATTTAAGAAATTGAAATTGGTGTTATATGGGAATGTACAACGACTTACTGCATATAACTATCGAGTAAGAAGACGTTCAGAACTTTAAGAATGTTCATATGATTCAAGAATCTAACCAATTCAGACTATCTGATCTAAATCATAATCATAAAAGTTCTTTGCCAATTAAGAATATTTGACATTTATAACTGATATTCATGATGTGTTGTTGAGCGGGTGAAAGTTTGATATTTAAACTTTATAAAATTTTAGTTATTAATATAATATCTATGGTAGAAAAATATAATTTTTTTAAATAATTATAAAAAAGAACAAACAACCCAACAACTCAATTCCGCTCAACTCGAAAAATGGAGAGTTAAGTTAGGAAGTCTATTTAAGTTGTTCGAGTCACTTACCCAATTCGTGTATATACTTTTATTTAATATATTTTGTTTTTTTATTTAAAGACAACAAGAAATATATAAATATATATTTGTCATGTTGAAATTATTTAATTTAGACAAGCGGCAACTTCATGTGGCTTTTACATCAATGTCTGAACAAATAGTTTTTATTTATTTATTTTTAATTACATTTACTCTATTCTTAATAATGCTACTACGTAATATTTTATTTCTTTTTAAAGTTTAAACCAATTTAAATAATTTAATTTACTTAAATTTTATAATTTTTGAGCATTACGATACAACCGATACCTAATGTAACACGTTTTTCATTCTTCTAGATAGATAACAATTTCAGCTCATTTCGTAATGGAACAACTTTCAAAGAATTCGTTCATCTAAACATAGCTCTCAGTTGGCTAAGACATATGTTCTCAACGGAAAGAAAAGAAGTTCGAAACTTTTTCCTAAAAAAAACGTTCAAATATTTCTCACTTGTACACAGATATATAAGGTTGTGGCATATACAATCACAATATATACAAACACATACAAGAATGCAAAGAGAAATCATCAGAAGCTCCAAGTCCTCAACATTCAATCTATGAAATGCAGAGTTTCATTCAGAGTTTAGAGGAGAGCGAGTGAAAAACCTGAGATCTGATTCAAAGATAATCCATTGGGAGCCCGAGTTCGTCGTCATTGGCCTCCTTGCTCCTACGAAATCTTTTACCATCATAGCTTCGTTTGTTACTCCACGAGTCCTGTTCGAATCTCCGTTCTTCAAACTCGTAAAGTTCTTCAAGGTCATCTAATGAATTCCCCACGTTCTGGGTGCCTAAGAATCCCTGGTATAACCACCGATATAATTATGAACAAGTCGATAATTACGAGTGCTTTACATTGTTAACATTAAGCTTTCTATTTCATCGAACGAAATTGGACCTATGAACTTGAATAGGTCAACTCATGATTGGTCGTTAGGCGTTCTTGTGGTCAACTGAGACTATTTTTGTTAGTATTTGATTTTGTTGCCTCTTTTCTTGTTTTCTCATTAAATATCACAAAAGTAACACGAAACAACTATTTTCCAAACGGGTTTTCAAAATTCTATGCATTTTTCCAAACGGGTTTTAAAGTTAAGGAACTTGTCGGGTACGAACTTGAAAGTTCGGAGGCTAAATTTGTGATTTAACTTTATAATAATATTCAGTGGGACGTTTAAGCACATAGAACGGTACCTTTGTCAGCCTTTGAATGCGCGATGCTGCATCTTCATGTACAACAACCACGTCCGATATGACTTCCAGTACATCCTCAACAAGCAAAGCATATGTACTCACCTGGAACAGTCATGAAATTTTAAGTCAACTTGAAAAAGGCATGATGTTCAGTAAAGATATCAACAGATACAAACTAAAAGTAACAGATCTTCACTTTACTTACAAGGCTGGAAGGAAGGAAGGAATATCCAAATGAATCGAGCTCCAGAGATTCAACTGCACCCGAGTTAATGTTGAACGTGTATCCACGTATCTAAACATGAAATTTTGAAAGAGGTGAGAAATGAGCGATAAATGTAATTCTAGAATCAAAGGAGTCCCGAGTCAATCGATACCTTTCCGATATTCCGTCGACCAGGTGTAACTACTTTGTATCCTACCTAGCAAAGACTTAACCGTTAATGTCTGAAAATAAACTACAAAACGGAGATAGAACCCAGAATATATTGTAATGTAAAAGATAAACGAACTACAAGATAAACCGAGTAATTCAAGGTACTCGGAAACTCCCTCTCTTGCGCACTCCTACTCAAGCCTAAAGCGACTAATCAATTGTGAGATCTCACATCGGATGGGGAAGAGAACAAAACACTCTTTATAAGAGTGGGAAACCTCTCTCTAGCATACGCTTTTTAAAAACCTTGAGGGAAAGTCCGAAAGGGAAAGCCTAATGAAGATAATATTTGCTAGCAGTGGGCTTAGGTCGTTACAAATGATATCAGAGCTAAACACCGGAAGTTGTGCCAGCGATGAGGCTAAGCCCCGAAGGGGGTGGACACGAGATGGTGTGCCAGCAAGGACACTGGGCCCCGGAGATGGTGGATTGGGGGGTCCCACATTGATTGGAGAAGAGAACGAGTGTCAGTGAGGACATTGAGCCCTGAAGGGAGGTGGATTGTGAAATCCCACATCGGTTGGAGAGGAGAACGAAACACTCATTGAGAGTGTGGAAACATCTCCCTAGCAAACGCGTTTTAAAAACTTTGAAGGGAAGCCCAAAGAGGACAATATCTGCTAGCGGTGGGCTTGGTCCGTTAGATCAATTTTATAACTTCCTCCTTTCCCACTTCTCCTAAACAAATTAGTGGTATACCCTTATAATATCCCTAACTTCCTTTGGATGGCATTCCTATCATATGGGTATTCTCCAGCAACTCAAGAAAACCCGAAGTGAATTCGAAAGCATCTGTCTAACTAGATAACCCAGCAGTATCATTCCCAAAAGAAGACTTTCTTCTTTTAAACACAAAAAAGTGTACCAGTATTTCCAATCCAGCCATTTTGAATTCATTCTCCATGACTGTCTCATCAGGGACAAGTATAACATCGCCAACCTGCAATGGGTTACATAGATTAGATGTTAAAAGGGGAAAAAAACTGCACAACTCCACTAGAAGCATTAGAGCCAAGGCAATGAAGCATTATAAGCTTCAGTACATATTGAATATATGCATCAATCTACAATTCCTAAACTGCAGAGAATTATAGAACTCTTTCTTTCAATCTTCACATCTTTGCTGTATAAATATGCAGAGAAATTGATTATGAATGAAGGAGTTAGGAGAAAAAGTACCTGATCAATATCCTCAAGAAGAAACCATTCTGATTCTCCAGAAAGTAAGCTTGGCTTCACTTCAACAAGCTTTACCATCCACTATAGAGCATGAAAATTAGAGCATGAGACCTCCAAGAATCAAGGAAAGCATACAATAAAGCCACAATAAGAACAGGGTCACTTACAGCTTCAGTATTTACCCAGAGCTGCGAGACAAAACCCAAGCTAAGCGCAGTTTGAATGCTGATCACTTGCTTCGCCAACATGTTCGATCTCCTCATCACTTGCCTCCTTTTCCGTAACGCTACCTTCCCACTCTCCCCTTCTAATTCCTTCTCCGTTTTTGCATCCTTGTCTTCAATGGCAACCAAATCCCCTTCTCCTTCTGAGCTCCTTCCCCTGTTTAAGCCCTTCTTCTTGCCCTCATCGAGAAATTCCAACCCCCCGGATGAAACTGCAGCTCCATCGCCCCGTCCTTCGCCGGAATCATTCCCATTTCCGTCTAAATTTGCAACGCTACGGCTTGGTTCGACGTCGAGAAGATTTTCATTTTCGCCTTTCAATCCTAACTCGCCGATGAATCGGTTTCGCTTTGGTACAAATGCGCACAAGCTTTTGGTTACTTTTTTTCTCAAAGGGAAGAGGAGGGAGCCATTTTTAACATCTGAAGAACCAGAATTGAAGCAATTTGAAAGAAGATGGGGATGAGATTCGAATTTGGTGAGCCCTAATCGTCGAAATTTGATGGAAGATGAGAAGGGGAACGACGGAAGAGAGTCGCACATTGTGAAACCTTGACTGTGACCGAAACGTTGGAACAATCGGAGCCGATGAAGGGAAAATCGTCGTTCGTCACCGTTGGGGATTATCAGTTTTGGGCCTGATAGTTGGGCTCATACTTATATGGGCCGATTGCTAGGTTAAAACAATATCACTGATCATATACCACGATGATACATCATAACTCATACATCATCATATATTAGTATACGACATCAGACAATACAACTCATATATCCTAAATTATAACTCATACCATTCTCAACATATCCTATAGTTAGACTATTTATTTGATGACCTTTAGTTAAAGTAATCCCTAATTTAATTCATTTAAGCTCTCGTTCCTTGAGAGCTGCTCCAAAGGATGTCGAGGTTCAGTTCCTATCGCACCGTTTGTCACCTTTCGTTAGTATTTCACATATTAATTAATAATCCAACTAAGAATGTGAAAAACAGCTCTAAAACGGCTTCAATTGAGGCCGAAAACAGGCTTGAGAGGGTCAAAACAGTGGAAAACTAGATAAAAATGAAAAGTCGAGCCAAATGTGCAAGGAGCCATTGAAACCCGCGCCCCAACTTGCACGTGGGCCTCAAGTGCGTTTAATTGCAAGCCAGGTTAGTAGTTCCTGTTCTCTCCCACGAAGTTTCGTGGTTATTGAACATTCATGGAGATAGATCAAAGATTCTCCAAAAATTCGATTTTCGATTTCCTTTCTCGAACAATAACAACAACCACTGCTAATGAATTGTATTACCGTGTTAAGTTCAATTTTACTACGGGCGTTACTTTTTGACCTCCAACAAGCCTAAAAGTAATTAATGTAACATAAAGTCATAATTAAAATAAATTGAAATAAAATAGTTAAATCCGAACAAATTTTCCAATATCATTATTATTTGTTAGAAATTATTACTATTTTACCACTAACAAAAATAAAGTTCAATATTTATTTTTTACTTTATAATTGCTCTTTCCAACAAGGTTGACACTTAAATTTTAAAATCCATAAATAATTTAAACCCACTCTATCGATCTAATAAATAATTACCGGTGTTTGTAGGTTGGGTTAGGTCGGGTTTAGACATTTTTTAGATCTAATTCATTGGTTCGAAGTTGTAAATTTTTCAATACAAATAACTCTCGTTAAATAATGAACTCGACCCAACTCAACCATGGTTAGTTGAATTGGTTTAGGTTATTCGAATCATATGGTTGGATCTGTATAATCAAAATGGACAATATCATACCATAGTGGAGAGTTGTGTTCGTCTAACAGGGTTAGCTTGTAAGAAAATGCTCGATAGAATCTTCCATCAATTTATGATACCTGATACGGTAAATTAGTACTTATACCTAAGTGGACGGGTATTTTGCTTGTGGCAACGAACCCTCATTCTATTCCCATCGAGCTATTTATCCTCAACTCGATCAACCCACAATCTCTTTCACGAGCATTCTTCATTATGAAATCCAAATAGGTTTTGTATACCGAGTGAGTTATTTACCTATCCTACCTTTAATAATAATTTTTTTAATAGTTTTAATATAAATTAAATTTTTTTTATTTAAAATGATGAATTGACTTGACCTCAAGAGACCATTAAATTCTTTGAGTTTAAATATATTCCAAATTCTTAGGTCCACTTGACTTTATTATATATGGAGCTTATTCCATTATGCCAAGTCATCATTATAAACTAAGAAAAAAACTAGTTGACTTTTAGTCTACGGCAGGACAATATTGAAATAATAATTTTAATAATAAAAATTATTAGAATCAATTAAAAATGTAAAAAGATGATTGATTTTTTTAAAAATTTATGGTCTCCATAAAAAAAACGAAAAAAAATATAATTATTTAATATATACTTAAATTTTTTTAATACACATTAAATTAATAAAAAAATGATCTTTATAATTTATCTAAAAAATATTTTAAATAAACCTAAATTAACTATTTATTTAAAAAAATCCTCAAATTTTAGAAAATATTTAAAAATACCCTCAAATTTTTTAAAATTTCATTAATACCCTTAAATGGAAATCTGATTTATCCACGTAAGCCAGAAATGGAAAAGTGGTGGACCACAGCCACGTCAGCCAAGTTTCCAAAAATAATCGGTGGTTGTTTCGTATTTTTAAATTTAATTTTTTTTTTGATAAAATAGTTCTTATTTAATTTTATTAGTATTATTTTGAGTTTCGTTTTTTTTGACCGTCCGATTAAATTCTCCCTCTCAGATCCACTGTTCATTGGGTCATAACGTAACATTCCCCACAAACTCAATCTTTAATTTTTTACAATTTTAAAGATTTGGTAAATAATTTATTTAGATATGAATATTAAATTTATATTTATTAATGGTTTAAGTTCGAAAACAATATATATGGTTAATTTTCTATTAAATATAATAAAAATTAATATTTATATATATATATATATTTTTTTTTCTTTTTCTAATTTTATCTCTGGTCAAATTAGGTTAAAGGTAAAAAAAAAAAATTTAAATATAAGAGTATATTTAGAATTTTTTTTAAAGAATATTATTGAAAATTTAAAAATTTAAAAATATTTTAAAGAAAAAATACTATTTTTATTAATTTAGTTTTCAAATTTATTATTATTATTATTATATATACATACATTTATTTTATTTAATTGGATAATTATCTTTTTAATTATTAAAAATTCGAATATAATTTTTCAAAAAATATATAAAAAAAAATTGGGCTGGAGCGTTGTTTTGAAATAAATAAAATAATTTTTTTACATATTAAACTCTTTTATTAAAAAATAATTTAAAAAATTGAATAAATGGTTTGTTACCGAAGCCATTGGCTGCCACCATCTTCATCTTCTTCCCCATTTCCTCTGGTTTCTTTGTCTTCTACTTTCAGCCCTTCCACCATTTTTTCACACTCTTCTCTCTGCTTCTCACCCCATCAATTTGCCTCCATTTTCTGAGTTTTCTTTGCTTTGCCTCTATCTGATTCATCTCCATTGGCTCGTGATTTCTTGGGTTTGATTTCGTTGCTTGCTCATGTTCGACTCTGGTTATTTACTTCTTGTTCTGTCGATTTCTGTGTAGGAAGCTTTGGATTCTTCTCGAGTTAGCTGTTCATCTTGTTCTGATCTACTGGAACAAGTTTTCGAGTTGATTCATGAAGGAAATCCATCACGTACGTCTTGCATTTGCATCTATCTGTGTTTTCGTTTTCTTGTTCTTCAATGTTCATGTGATTTCAGCACAAAACTACATCCCTCGGGATTTCATCCTCCTCAATTGTGGAGGACCTTCCACTGCCGACGACATGGATGGCCGGAAATGGATGACCGATGACAAATCCAAGTTTCTTCCCGCGGCAGGGAATAGCACTACATCGAGAGCCGCTACTCAGGTTCCTTCAGTTCTTGAAACTCCTTTCATGACGACTAGGGTTTTTCACTCTAATTTCACCTATACCTTTCCTGTGGCTCCAACTCGTTTATTCCTTCGTCTGTACTTTTATCCTTCTTCCTATGGCGGCCTTGATGCATCTGATGCTCGATTCTCTGTTTCCACTCAAACCCATACTCTCCTTAATAACTTCAGCGCTTCACAAACAGCTGAGGCTCTGAATTTTCCGACTATCGTTAAGGAATACTCGATCAATGTTGAAAATGGAAGGTTGAGCTTGACTTTCACTCCGTCCCCCACTCATCCAAAGGCTTATGCGTTTGTTAACGGGATCGAGATTGTATCTATGCCCGATATTTACAGTGAAACTTCCGGGACTGTTTTGATTGTTGGCCAATCTAGTCCTTTCACTGTGGATAACACCACTGCGCTCGAGAACATCCGTCGGTTAAATGTCGGGGGGAATGATATTTCGCCTTCTGCTGATACGGGGATGCATAGGCCTTGGTTTGATGATTCTCCATATTTGTTTGCTGCAGCAAAGGGAGTGACAACGATTACGGAACAGAACACAAGGATTACTTATCCTCCCAGTATTTCTACTTATGTTGCGCCGGTTGATATCTACTCTACTGCTAGAACTATGGGACCTGATAGCAATGTCAATCTGAATTATAATTTGACATGGGTTTTCTCTGTTGATTCTGGCTTCTTCTACCTTGTTAGGCTCCATTTTTGTGAGATTGATGCAGGTATCACGAAGGTTAACCAAAGAGTGTTCGACATTTTCATCTTTAATCAAACTGCTACGCTGAGTGTTGACGTGATTGAATCGGCTGGAAGTAATTATGCTCCTATGTTCAAAGATTACGTGGTTATGGTTCCAAGCTATGGAGATCCGCAGAAGGATTTATGGCTCCAGCTGCATCCACACAAGTCTTCACGACCCAATTACTATGATTCAATCTTGAACGGAGTGGAGATCTTCAAAATTAACAACTCGGATGCTAATCTTGCGGGGCCGAATCCTGTTCCTGCAGCGAAACAAGAGATTATAGATCCATCATTAGCCATCCCAGGATCATCTCATGGTAAATCGAAGAACAGGATGGCGATTATAGCTGGAGTTGTTTGTGGTGCAGTTGTTTTGGGTCTGATCATTGGTTTCTTTGTTGTTGCTGCTAAGCGTCGGCGTGGGATGGATTGTATTTCTGTTACAGGACAATCAGGATGGCTTACTCTTTCTGTCTATGGAAATTCCCCTTTGGCTGAGACAAATGCAGATGGAAGCTATGCATCCTCTCTGCTTTCCAATCGCCGCCACTTCTCATTTGCTGAGATCAAGGCTGCCACAAGGGAGTTTGATGAATCTTTAGTACTTGGAGTAGGAGGTTTTGGCAAAGTTTACAAGGGAGAAATTGATGGTGAGACTAGGAAAGTTGCTATCAAGCGTGGGAACCCTCTCTCGGAGCAAGGTGTTCATGAGTTCCAAACTGAGATTGATATGCTGTCTAAGCTTCGCCATCGCCACCTTGTTTCATTGATTGGCTACTGCGAAGAGAATTGTGAAATGATCCTTGTTTATGATTACATGTCTCATGGAACACTCCGTGAGCATCTATACAAGTCCCACAACCCGCCATTGTCTTGGAGGCAA